CCAATAGTGTTTAAAATATATTTAAAGCCAGATGTGGTGGCTCATGCCTGTAATCTCAGCAGTTTGGAAAGCTAAGGTGGGCGGATCCCTCAAGCCCAGGAGTTTGAGTCCATCCTGGGCAACATGGTGAAGCCCAATCTCCAAAAACAAACAAACATATATATATATATATGTTTATATATATATATGTGTTTATATATATATGTGTGTGTGTGTTTATATATATATATAAGCCAGGCATGTTGGTGTGCACCTGTGGTCCCAGCTACTCCAGTGGCTGAAACAGAAGGATTGCTTGAACCCAGGAGGTCAAAGCTGTGCTGAGATGTGATCACACCACTGTACTCCAGCCTGGGCAACCTTGTCTCAAAAATAAAGTAAAATAAAATAAAATAAAATATATTTAAAAACAGAATAAAGAGGTCATAGTAATAATTTTAAAATAAGCAAATTTTAATAGACTTTGTCATCACTAGACTGGCCCTATAAGAAATACCCAAATGGGCCCTAAACATGGAAACAAAGGTTGATATTTGCTATCATAAGAACATAAGAAAGTATAAAACTCACAGGTCATATAAAGCAATCATATAAAGGAGGAAGAGAAAGGAATCAAATGGCAACAAGACAGAATTCCACTAAACCACAAAAACAGAGAAAAAGAAAGAAACAAATAATTTATAAAACAGGTAGATAACACTTAACAATGTGACAGGAACAAAATCTCACATATCAATATTAACCTTGTATGAAAATGGATTAAGTGATCTACTTAAAAGTTACAGATTGGCAAACTGGATAAAAAACATGATCCAACTATATGCTGCTTATAAAAAACTCACCCCAACTGAAAAGATACATATAGACTAAAATTAAAGGGGTACAAAAAGATATTCTACGCTGGGCATGGTGGCTCACGCCTGTAATCCCAGCACTTTGGGAGGCTGAGGCAGACGGATCACGAGGTCAGGAGTTTAAGACCAGTCTGGCCAACAGAGTGAAACCCCGCCTCTACTGAAAATACAAAACTTACCTGGGCATGGTGGCGTGTGCATATAGTCCCAGCTACTAGGGAGGCTGAGGCAGGAGAATTGCTTGAACCTGGGAAGTGGAGGTTGCAGTGAACTGAGATCGTGCCACTGCACTCCAGCTTGGGCAACAGAGTGAGACATCGTCTCAAAAAAAAAGAAAAAAAAGAAAAAATTCTACACAAATGGAAGCCAAAAGTGATCAGGTGTAGCTATGCTTACACCAGATAACACAACCTTCAAATCAAAAACATTAAAAAAAAAAAAAAAAAAAAAAGACAAAGGTCATTATATAATGACAAGGGATGAATTCAGCAAGAAGCTATAAGAATCCCAAATACATATGCATCCAACACTGGATCACCCAGATTCATAAAACAAATATTTACTAGACCTAAAGAAAGAGACAGCAAAACAATCCTGTTTTGATTGTGGACTTCAACATTCCACTCACAGAACTAGGCAGATTATTGGGACAGAAAATTAACAAAGAAACACTGAACTTAAATTGGACTTTGGACCAAATGGACTTAACAAACATTTACAGAACATTCAACCCCAAAACTGCAGAATATACATCTTTCTCATCAGCACATGGAACATTCTTCAACACAGACCATATGTTAGGTCACATAATAAGTCTCAACAAATTTTTAAAAACTGAAAACAAATCAAATATCTTCTTAGACCACAACGGAATAAAACTAGAAATCAATGCCAAGAGGAAATTTAGAAACTATACAAATACATGGAAATTAAACAACATATTCCTGAATGATCATAGAGTCATGACAAAAATTTAAAACATTTTTTGAAGTAAATGAAAACGGAAACACAACATACCAAAACCTGTGGGATACAGCAAAATCAGTGTTAAGGGGGAAGTTTATAGCGTTAAATGCCTACATGAAAAAAGTAGAAAGCACTTTGTGAGGCTGAGACAGGAGGACTGCTTGAGCCCAAGAATTTGAGGCTGCAGTGGGCTATGATGATGCCACTACATTTCACCCTACGCAACAGAGTGAGACCCTGTCTCTCTCTCTCTCTCTATTAAAAGAAAAAAAAAAAAGTAAAATGATCACAACTTAACATCACATTTCAAGAAACTAGAAAAACTATAACAAACCAAACCCCCAAGGTTAGCCAAAGAAAATAAGTAACAAAGATCAGATGAGAACTAAATGAAATAACCCCCCTATTCCCCAAAATACAAAGCATCAATGAATTGAAAAACTGGTTCTTCAAAAAGACAAAATAAATCGCTAGCTAGCTTAAGAAAGAAGATCCAAATAAACAAACTCAGAAAGGAGACATTACAACTGATACGACAGAAAAAACAAGGGATCATCAGAGACTATTATGAGCAACTACACTTCCACAAACTAGAAAACCTAGTTTGTGGAATTCCTGGAAACATACACCCTCCCAAGATTGAACCAGGAAGAAACGGAAATCCTGAACAGACCAATGAGTAGTGAGAATGAATCAGTAAGCAAAAAAAACCACACAGGACAAGATGGGTTCACAGTCAAATTCTACCAAATGTACAAAAATAAATAAATAAATAAATAAAACAAAAACTTATACCAATCATCCTGAAACTTTCCAAAAATTGGAGGGGGAATCTGCCCTAAATTACTCTATGAGGCCAGTATCACCCTGATACCAAAACAAGGCAAAGACACAACAAAAGACAAAAGCTATAGACTAACATCCCTTATAAATATAGATGTAAAAATCCTCAACAAAATACTAGCAACAACAGCACATCAAAAAGATAAAATATCAGGATCAACTGAGTTTTATACCAGAGATGCAAGGACGGTTCAACACACGGAATTAAAAAAATATGATATATCACACAAACATAGCTAAGGACAAAAACCATATGATTATCTCAAAGGAAGCAGAAAAAGCATTTGATAAAATTCATCATCACTTCATGATAAAAATCCTCAACAAACTAGGCACAGAAGGAACATACCTCAACATAATAAAGGCCATATACAATAAACCCACAGCCAACATCATACTAAACAGGAGAAAGTTGACAGCATTCCAAGAACTGAAACAAGTCAAAGATGCCCACTTTCACCACTTCTATTCAACCTAGTACTGTAAGTCCTAGATAAAGTAATCATGCAAGAGAAAAAAATAAAAGGCACCCGAACTGCAAAAGTTAAATTATCCCTGTTTGTTGATGATATGATCTTATATCTAGAGAACCCCAAAGACTTCACCAAAAGACTCTTAGATTTGATAAACGACTTCAGTGAAGTGTCAAGATACAAAATCAACTTTAAAGAAATCAACAGCATTTCTATATACCAATAAGGAATAAGCTGAGAAACAAATCAAGAAGGCAATCCCACTTATAATAGCTAAAAAAGAAATAAAATACCTAGGAGTATATTTTTAACCAAGGAGGTAAAAGATATCTACAAGGAAAACTAAAAAACACTGACAAAAGAAGTTGTAGATGACACAAACAAATGGAAAAACATCCCAGGTTCATGGATCAGAATAATTAAAATGACCATCCTGCCAAAAGCAGTCTACAGTTTCAATGCAATCCCTATCAAAATACCAGTATCATTTATCACAGACTTACAAAAAACAATCCTAAAACTCGTGGCTCACTGAACCTTTTTTTGGAACAAAAAAATAGCCCAAGTAGGCAAAACAATCTTTTTTTTTTTTTTTTTGAGATGGAGTCTCACTCTTGTTACCCAGGCTGGAATGCAATGGCACGATCTCAGCTCACTGCAACCTCCACTTCCCGGATTCAAGCAATTCTCCTGCCTCAGCCTCCTGAGTGGCTGGGATTATAGGCACCCTCCACCATGCCTGGCTAATTTTTTGTAGTTTTAGTAGAGACAGGGTTTCATTATGTTGGCCAGGCTGGTCTCAAAACTCCTGACTTCGAGATCCGCCCGCCTCAGCCTCCCAAAGTGCTGGGATTACAGGTGTGAGCCATGGCGTCCAGCCAGTCAAAGCAATTTTAAGCAAAACCAACAATGCTACAGGCATCACATTACCTGGCTTCAAATTACACTATAAGGCTGTAAAACCCAAACAACATGGTACTGGTCTAAAAACAGACACATACATTAATGCAACAGAATAGAGAACCCAGAAATGAAGCCACATATCTACAACCAACTGATCTTTGACAAAGCTGCCAAGAACATACATGGAGGAAAGAGCACTCTTTTCAAAAATGGTGCTGGAAAAATTATATTGCCATATGCAGAATGAAACAATATCTCTCACCTTACATAAAAATCAACTAAATGGATTAAAGACTTAAATTTGGGACCTACGTTTATAAAAATACAAGAAGAAAACCTAGGCAGTACTCTTCTAAACACTAGTCTAGGTAAATAATTCATGACTAAAACCTCAAAAGCACAGGTAACAAAAACCACCAGGCCTCGCTAATTTTTGTATTGTTTTGGTAGAGACAGGGTTTTGCCATGTTGCCCAGGCTGATCTTGAACTCCTGAGCTCAAACAATTCTGCCTGCCTCAGCCTCCCAAAGTGCTTGGATTACAGGTGTGAGCCACCATGCCTGGCCTTCCAAATCCTTGTAATACTTTCATTTTCTTAAGTTTTTTTTTTTTCCCCTTTAACCTTAATTATGTATTACTTTACAACTAGGGGAAAAAGAAAGGCTACAAATTTTTAAAAAATTAATTTTTGGACAACTGTGTCCAAAATAGGCCTAACATCGACAAGTTCAATAACACTAAAGCATTGCTAATGTCTAGTGCAAATAAAAGCAAGTTGCTGTAAATATATAATTGCCTTATTAAATCTAATTACCTCACACTTTCTGGATCCTAACTAAACTTTCAAAACTCCATTAAATTTTGGCAAATACCCCTGGGGTAGTTTATGAAAACATCCAAATGAGACTACTATCACTAGGGAGTAATTTATCTAATGATGAAGACTATCACATCATCTTACCTTTCAGCTAAATTGAAAGCATCTCTAGAAACAGATGATGATCTTGTATTTCCAACACTGCCAGTATGAGATCGTCTTCCTTTTGCTGAAGGAGTATCTAATGGTATGTCCCCCAAACCCTGCAAGTAAATACAATATTAGTATGATACAAATTTTAAAACTAGTAGTGAAATATCTTACACAATGTAATTTTCAAAGTAGCCATCATTGATTTTTTAAGATGGAAAGTATTTTAATAATCTGGTATGTTTATGCTTTAGAGTATGAGATACATAAAACACCTTGTAATTAGCAGTAAATTAACAAAATATGTGACGAATGGGAAAATATATATTGACTTATAAAAAACGAGTTAAAAACTAAAAATCAATATGCTATATTTTGGGCTGGGTGTGGTGGCTCATGCCAGCACTTTGGAAGGCTGAGGCAGGTGGATCATCTGAGGTCAGGAGTTAGATACCAGCCTAGTCAACATAGGGAAACCCTGTCTCTACTAAAAGTACAAAAATGAGTTGGGCATGGTGGTATAATGCCAGCTACTCAGGAGGCTGAGGCAGGAGAATCCCTTGAACCTGGAGGCAGAGGTTGCATTGAGCTAAGATCGCGCCACTGCACTCCAGCCTGAGCAACAGAGCATGACTCTGTTTCAAAAAAATAAATAAAAATAAAATAATAATATGCTGTATTTTGTAACTACTCTTTTTGAAGTTTAAAATCTATGTAGAACATATGAACACAGTCCATAAACACTGAACACTGTTGTTCCTATGCAACATTAGGAGTGTGAGAATAAACATTTTGATGAGAACTATTTAAAACCTTTCCTGCACTGGAAAGACTCACAGATACAATCTGCTTTGTTTTAGTCAGATTTTTTTTTTGCATGGTTATATTAATAAGTTCTAATATGAACTAAGCTGAAATCTTCAAGTTCAATGGGCAGAAAAAAAATGCTCTAAAATGTCTACTGCTACATATCTTTTTAATATTATTCCTTCATAAGTGAATCCTTAGCCCAAGGCCATCAGAGAAAAATGACATAAATTACAATAGAAAAATTTTACTTTATTAAACATATTTTTAAAACAATATATAAATAGATTACTTTTTATATTTTATTTCACTTGGTATTCTCTGAGTCACTCATTTCACAGACATTACTGAATTCCCATTATTTACCAAGACGATAAGACATGGCATGGCTAGGCGCGTTGGCTCACGCCTGTAATCCCAGTACTTTGAGAGGCTGATGCAGGCAAATAACCTGAGGTCAGGAGTTCAAGACCAGCCTGGCCAACATGGCGAAAACCCCGTCTCTACTAAAAAATATAAAAAATTAGCTGGGCATGGTGGCGGGTGCCTGTAATCCCAGCTACTTGAGAGGTTGAGGCAGGAGAATCGCTTGAACTCGAGAGGTAGAGGTTGCAGTGAGTTGAGATCATGCCACTGCACTCTAGCCTGGTGACAGAGCAAGACTCTGTCTCAAAAAAACAAAAACAAAAACAAAGACATGGCACTTACCCTCAAGGAGCTCCCTATAAATGTTCTGCAGTGTGGTAATAGCTCTAATAGTGGAACATACAAGGTAAATAAAGCAGGGACTAAGCATGGTAAACATTATTATCCTCATTTTATAAAGTGAGAATTCTAGTTAGAGAAATGAAGAGGCATGCGTAAGTTACACAGTTGCTAACTGTTAGAGCTGCGATTCAAACCCATGTCTTGTTAACTCCAATAAGCCAAACTATATTCTACCAAACATCAAGCTTCTGTTCAATAAACATTTACTTCCAAGGCTTGACAATATGTATGTCTACTTAGTATTCTAGTTGTTGAAATGCTATTGCAGATATAGTCCAAATGATTAACAGAGAAATAATCAAATAAATAATTATTCCTATCCTTTACCTGGATGTAAAAACAAGCTTTGCTGGTGAAACCCCGTCTCTACTAAAAAATACAAAAAACTAGCTGGGGGAGGTGGCGGGTGCCTGTAGTCCCAGCTACTCGGGAGGCTGAGGCAGGAGAATGACGTAAACCCAGGAGGCGGAGCTTGCAGTGAGCTGAGATCCGGCCACTGCACTCCAGCCCGGGCGACAGAGCGAGACTCCGTCTCAAAAAATAAACAAACAAACAAACAAACAAACAAACAAGCTTTGCTTATAAAGTTGTTTATAAAACAAACTTTTTCCACATACCTTTTGCTGTAAGTTTCTAACAGAGTCCTTAATATATGGCAAATCTTTAGATGGAACATACTTTTCAAGCATTTTTTCAAAGTTAGGATGACACATCATGAAGAACAGCATCTTTCGACCATAGTACCTATGAGTATTTGAAAAATAGGCATACTACTTTTTAGACATTAACAAGCTCAGTTTCTGACCTGAGATGCATTGTTTTCAATAGGAAAAAAAAAAAACAAAAAACTATCAAACATCAAGATTACCATCCCTATTTTAAGTAACCACCAAAATATAGATATCCTAACTGTATAGATGCCCTAGAGGGTAAAGATGGTCCCCAACTTACAATGGTTTGACTTATAATTTTTCAACTTTATAATACTGTGAAAGAGATATGATTCTGTGGAAACCATACTTCAAATTTTGATTTTTTCCATGGCTAGTCATATGCAGTATGACACTTGGACGCTGGGCAGCAGCAGTGAGCTACAGCTCCCAGTCAGCCATGTGATCACCATACTCTACAATGTACTGTGTTGCCAGATGATTCTGTCCAAGCGTAGACTAATGTAAATGTTCTCAGCATGTTTAAGGTAAGGCTTGGCTATGTTATGATGCTTGGTAGGTTAGATGTATTAAATACACTTTTGGCTTCTGATAATTCCTATTGATGATGGGTTGTGGGGATATAACCTCATTGTAAGTTAAGAAGCATCTGTGACCAGGCGCAGTGGCTCAGCCTGTAATCCCAGCACTTTGGGAGGCCGAGGTGGGTGGATCACAAGGTCAGGAGTCCGAGATCAGCCTGGCCAACATGGTGAAACTCCATCTCTACTAAAAAAATACAAAAATTAGCCGGACCTGGTGGGACACTCAGGTAATCCCAGCTGAGGATTTAGGAGGCTATTTAGGAGGCTGAGGCAGGAGAATCATTTGAATCCAGGAGGTGGAGTTACAGTGAGCCGAGATCACGCCACTGCACTCCAGCCTGGGCAGTAGAGAGAGACTCCTTCTCAAAAAAAAAAAAGGCATCTGTTGGGATGCTCCCATAATCCCCTTTTAAAGTCACTGTCTTCAAATCCTTCTGCCATGTGTTAGATGGAGAAACAAAAGCTCTGATTCTATTTTTCAGGCACCCCAAGGTCCATATCAATGCTGGTGTTTGGAAGAACTGTGAAGTTTGTCTCTGTCGTGGGCTCCTTGCCCACTGACCATTTGCTGTCCACCTACTGGACAGATGTTCTGGCCTGAGTCAACCCTCCCTAGGTCCTGTATTTCTCACTCTGTTTTTCCCTAGCCAAAACTTACCAGGGTTCCGATTCTTCAAAATCCTATTCTTTACCACTGAAAATACACCCAAGGTTCGTTGATAAATTGTGGCTGATTTGTTAATAAAGGTAATAATCTCAAAAACTACGTTTTTATATTTATATGAATTTTAAAATAATCATCTTAGCATAATACTTTAAGCCCAATGATTCTAATGGTGGAAATGCATACTGGAGATGTATGGAAGTGCATACTGGAGATATTTTAGCACACAGATGTCTTATACTACTTCAAAATAGTACCACACTATTCATCTTCAAGGAGGCCGGGCCCTAAAATAAATTAGTTAGACTTTTACTCACAACTTGGAATACATGGCACAAAAGGAACCAGAGAAGAGGCTGGGCGTGATGGCTCATGCCTGTAATCCCAGCACTTTGGGAGGCCAAGGCAGGCAGATCACTTGAGGCCAGGAGTTAGAGACCAGCCTGGCCAACACGGCGAAACCCTGTCTCTACTAAAAATAGAAACATTAGCCAGGCGTGGTGGCACATGCTTGTAATCCCAGCTACTCAGGAGGCTGAGGCACGAGAATTGCTTGAACCTGGGAGGTGGAGGCTGCAGTGAACCGAGATCGCACCACTGCACTCCAGCCTGGGTAACAGAGTCTTGGAAAAAATAATAATAATAATAATAAAGGAACGAGAAAAAGGCAGGCTGTTGTGGGGTTTTGTGGATGGGGGGATACAGGATGATCTTAAGACCACCTGTCTTGACCAGGTGCAGTGGCTTACACCTATAATCCCAGCACTTTGAGAGGACAAGGTGGGTGGACTGCTTGAGCCCAAGAGTTCAAGACCAGCTTCAGCAACACGGCAAAACCCCATCTCTACAAAAACTACAAAACTTAGCCAGGCATGGTGGCATGTGCCTGTAGTCCCAGCTACTCAGGAGGCTGAGGTGGGAGGATCACTTGAGCTCAAGAGGCTGAGGTAGCAGTGAGTCGAGATTATACCACTGTACTCCATCCTGGGCTACAGAGCAAGACCCTGTCTCCAAAAAGAAAAAGATCACATATCTCAACCTGACCCCTTCAAATGTAATGAAATTGCAGAAAGAGAAGTGAGGTCAGAGAATCAATATTACCTTTCTCCAAAACCAGAATAAGGTCTATATCCAGATAAGTAGCTCCTAATCAGTTATATTTTCAAGAGCAATTCTAATGTTTAGCCTGGAATGTTAAGCACTCTATTATATGGGCCCAATGGTCTATTACGTGGTCTATTATACGGGCCCAAAGTCTATTATACGGGCCCAATGACATGAGAAAGGCTAAAACACACAAGTAAGTGGAGACCAGGGACACAAAATGTGAGAAATGCAAAACTCGAAAATTAATTGCAACCATTTTATAATTTTAAATAAGAATCTAAGAAATGACAAAATGGGCTAGAAAGAATTACTATGCCATTAAGGAAAGGTTAAGTAAAGAAGCACACAAGATGGACATTAAGAAATCTTTTTTTTTTTTTTTTCTTAACAAGGTAGAGAGGGAGAAAAGAACATCTTTTGTTCCTGACTAGCCTATCATGATCTAACCCTCTTGAATTTTTTTGAATATTAATGTGATATGTGGAACTTTAAAATGGTTCCCCAAAGAGGTCCTGCTTCAATCCCTAAAATTTGTGAATATAAGATATCACTCCCAAGATTATGTTATATCACATAACACAGTTAACCTTAAAGTAATGACATGATCTGGTGGAATTAATCTAATAAAATGAGCCCTTAAAAGCAGAGAGCTTTCTGGCCGGGTACAGTGGCTCACACCTATAATCCCAGCACTTTGGGAGGCCAAGGCAGGCGGATCACGAGGTCAGGAGATCGAGACTATCCTGGCTAACACGGTGAAACCCCATCTCTACCAAAAATACAAAAAATTAACCAGGTGTGGTGGCAGGCGCCTGTAGTCCCAGCTACTCGGGAGGTTGAGGCAGGAGAATCGCTTGAACCCAGAAGGCGGAGCTTGCAGTGAGGCAAGATCATGCCACTGCACTCCAACCTGGGCAACAGAGCAAGACTCTGTCTCAAAAAAAAAAAAAAAAAAAAAGCAGAGAGCTTTCTTTCTGCGACTGGTAGAAAAAGAGGAATTCTAAAAGATCCTATGAAGGGGAGCTCAACTTGTTATTGCTGGCTTTAAAACAGAGGAGGGCTGCATGCAAAGAAATGTGAGTAGTGTTAAGAAGCTGAGCAAGGATCCTCGCTGACAGCCAGCAAGGAAATGCAGACCTCAGTCTTTTTTTTTTTTTTTTTTGAGAAGTTTGTCTCTGTCCTGGGCTCCTTGCCCACTGACCATTTGCTGTCCACCTACTGGCCAGATGTTCTGGCCCGAGTCAACCCTCTGTCTCACTCTGTCACCCAAGATGGAGTAAAATAGTGTGATCTCAACTCACTGCAACCTCCATTTCCCGAGTTCAAGCAATTCTCCTGCTTCGGCCTCCTGAGTAGCTGGGATTATAGGCACACGCCACCACGCCCAGCTAATTTTTGTATTTTTAACAGAGATGGGGTTTCATCATGTTGTTCAGGCTGGTCTCGAACTCCTGACCTCAGCTCCTCCACCCGACTCCACCTCCCAAAGTGCTGGGATTATAGGTGTGAGCCACCATGCCCAGCTGATCTCAGTCTTATAACCACAAGGAATTGAATTTGGCAAAGCCCAGCACGATCACCTTGATTTTGACCTTCTGAAACCATAGGCAGTGAAGTGAGGTGAGCCATGCCAGACTTCTAACCTAAAGAACTGTAAGCCAAAAAACGTGGGTTACCTTAAGCTCCTACATTTGTGTTAAACTTCACACAGCAATGGAAAACTAATATATTTACTTTCTGTATTATCTTTAGGTATAATGAGTTCCATAATATTAACTCCAGATACCTAAAGTAACGAACATCTTTGTCCTAAAATGTTAAACATTTTATATACTTCTTCACTTTAATCTTTATGACTCAGATTCTTTTAAAAAATTATTATTATTAATGAATTTTTTTTGGGGGGGATGGAGTCTCGCTCTGTCTCTAGGCTGGAGTGCAGTGGCTGAAGAGATTCTCCTGCCTCAGCCTGCCGAGTAGCTGGGACTACAGGCAAGTGCCGCCATGCCCAGCTAATTTTTGTATTTTTAGTAGAGATGGGGTTTCACCATGTTGGCCAGAATGGTCTCAATCGCTTGACCTTGTGAGTCACCTGCCTTGGCCTCCCAAAGTACTGGGATTACAGGTGTGAGCCACCACAACTGGCCTTTTTTTTTTGAGATGGAGTCTGGCTCTGTTTCTCAGGCTGGAGTGCAGTGACACAATCTCAGCTCACTGCAACCTCCGCCTCCCAGGTTCATGTGATTCTCCTGCCTCAGCCTCCTGGGTAGCTGGGATTACAGGCATGTGCCACCATGCCTGGCTAATTTTTATATTTTCAGTAGAGGCAGGGTTTTGCCATGTTCATGGGCTGGTCTCAAACTCCTGATCTCAGGTGATCTAGCCACCTCCGCCTCCCAAAGTGCTGGGATTACAGGCATGAGCCACCACACCCAGCCATATATCATTACTATAAAAAGTTTAGATTTTATATGGAACATTACTGGTCACCTAGTCCACCCTTCCTAATTGTATAGACATGGAAACAGAGACTAACAGAAATTAAGTAACTTGCTTAAGGACAAACAATGATGGGGACTAGAAATTTAACATAAGCATTTGACTATATCCAAAATTTTTGTCACCACCACAGCCATTATACCATCCACATCTTAATTATTGTGCTGTCTTTCTCTGATGGTTCTTAAACTTCATAAAATTGTTTTTCCAGTACAACCATCAGAAATTCGTGTAGTTTCCAGACTGCAGATATCTCACGTTTTGTGGAATAATATATTGTTATGCATAATCCTGTATTTTTCTTTTTTCTTTTTTTTTTTTTTGAGACAGAGTCTCGCTCTGTTGCCCAGGCTGGAGTGCAATGGCGCAATCTCAGCTCACTACAACATTCGCCTCCCAGGTTCAAGCAATTCTCCTGCCTCAGCCTCCCGAGTAGCTGAGATTACAGGTGCCTGCCACCACGCCCGGCTAATTTTATTGTATTTTCAGTAGAGACGGGGTTTCACCATGTTGGCCAGGCTGGTCTTGAACTCCTGACCTCGTGATCCGCCCACCTCGGCCTTCCAAAGTGCTGGGATTACAGGCGTGAGTCACCACGCCCAGCCCTATTCCTGCATTTTTCATGTGTACCTATTTCCTTGATTTTACCTGATTGCTTGGAAAATATATCATTTTCCCCTAAATGCATTACCTTACATTTGCCCATAATGAAGTTCTTCTGCCACTTTTCTGCCCACTCATACAGTCTTGTGCCGTTTTCATGAAGTTCATCCCTGTGACTTGGCATCTCACTACCCAGAAGTATGTAGTGTCATCTGTAAATTTGGAGAATTCACTGTGCACTCCCTCAAGAGTATTTACAATCTGGTTAAATAAGACCATCCCCCAGCACCAATCCCTGGGGACCCCACTTCTCCATTTAGAAAATGTTCATTCTTTTTTAAACTTTCTTTCCTTTCCTACTTGTAAGCCCTTATTAATAATAGATTTAGCCAACATTAGTAGATATTCACCTGGTTTCTTGTGAACTGTCTTGAGCAAACTTAGCAGCAGCTGGTAATATACATTCAGCCATATCCTTTGTTGCAGATAAAATACGTTCTGGTTCCATAAATTCCAATACATCTGATAAATGCTGGGCTGTGCACCTTCTTACAGCAATGTGTAAATGGCTACAAGGAGATATGATCAATTAATACAGAGTTGTTATATAAACTATACTCCAAAGATCTATGGATCTATGGTTTTTGTTTGTTTGTTTGTTTTGTTTTGGTTTTGTTTTTTGGGACAGTGTCGTGCTCTGTCATTGAGGCTGGAATGCAGTGATGCAATCATGGCTTACTGCAGCTTCGACCTCCTGGGTTCAAGTGATCCTCCTGCCTCAGCCTCCCAAGTAGCTCAGGCCACAGGCATGTGCCACCACACCCAGTTAATTTGATTTTATTTTTAGTACAGATGAGGTCTCACTATGTTGCCCAGGCTGGTCTCGAACTTCTGGGCTCAAGGGATCTTCTCACCTTGGCCTCCCAAAGTGCTGGGATTAAAGGTGTGAGCCACCACCTGAGGCCAAAGATCAATCCTAAAGTTAAATGATTTAACAGCTCCTCAACAATCATCCTGTGAGTCTAAAATGTCAAATTATTTGCATTACTTATCCCTTCCTCAAAAGTTAAAAGTAAAATAAAACAGACATTTAGTTATAGCTCTATGAATGTAAATAACATTATTGGAATAACAACAGGGTAACGTTATTACAATAACTTTTATTGAGCTTAAAGTAGATCTACCATTTGATCTAGCAATCCCACTACTTGGTATCTACCCAAACGAAAAGAAGTCATTATGTGAAAAAGATACTTGCACATATATGTTTATAGCAACAAAATTCAAAATTACAAAGATGTAGAACCAACGTAAGTGCCCACGGACTAATCAGTGGATAAAGAAAATGATGTATATATATATATATGTACATACATATATAAAAAAATACTACCCAGCCATTAAAATGAATTAAATAGTGTCTTTTGCAGAAACTTGTATGGAGCTGGAGGCCATTATTCTAAGTGAAATAACACAAGAGTAAAACACCAAAAACTGTTATGTTCTCACCTATAAGTGGCAGCTAAGTTATGAGTATGCAAAGCCATACAGGGTGATATATATAATGAACTATATATAATGAACTTTAAAGAAAGAAGGAGAGCAGGAGGGGGTGAGGCATAAAAACTACACATTAGGTACAATGTACACTACTCAAGTGATGGGTGCACAAAAATCTCAGAATTCACTATTACACAATTCACCCATGTAACAAAAAAACCACTTGTACCCCAAAAGCTACTGAAATAAAAATTAATAAAAAAATAGTAATAATTGTAAGGCTCCTAAAGCCAAATTGCCTAGATGATTCTGTGTGGCAGACATTTTGCTAGGTGCCCGAGGGACACAAGAAGTATACATATTCTATGAGAAAAATAGTAACAACATTATTCTTTTCATATTCAGCATGTAGTATAAAGTTTATCTCATAGGAACTTTTTAATAAATGTTTTTTGACCAATATAATACTAAGATTTGCTTGTTTCTTTTCTACACTCCTGATTGCAACATTTCATTTTTAGTTTAAAGACATTTCAAGGTCATTTTGAACATTACCTTTGTCCACCATTGATAAGAGAAACAACTGCACGTGCAGGAGTTACATTATTAACCATAGCTCTCAATGCTTTGTCAACATCTTCTCTTATAAATGTATTTGATTCACCAGCCTTCTGCAACAAAACTTTTACTGTGGTATCTAGCTCTTGATCCATGCTCTTTTTCAAATAAGTGAAAAGATCACTTAAACAGACTACGGCAGCACGAGAAACTCCAGAACGTAAATTTTTCACCTACAAAAAAAATTCAAAATGTACATTTTGCTGATATTCTGCAAGAAAATCACTAGGAAAGGAATTTTACAATTTTTTTTTTTTTTTTTTTTTTTTTTTTGAGTTAGAGTCTCGCTCTGTCGACTAGGCTGGAGTGCAGTAGCGTGATTTCAGCTCACCGCAACTTCTGCCTCTCAGGTCCAAGCAATTTTCATGCCTCAGCCACTTGAGTAGCTGGGATTACAGGTGCACACCACCATGCCCAGCTAATTTTTGTATTTTTAGTCCAAATGGGGTTTTGCCATGTTGGGCAAGCTGGTCTTGAACTCCTGGCTTCAAGTAACATATCTTAAGCTGGGCGTGGTGGCTTACACCTGTAATCCCAGCACTTTGGGAGGCCAAGGTGGGTGGATCACCAGGTCAGGAGATCAAGACCAGCCTGGCTAACATGGTCAAACCACATCTCTACCCAAAATACAAAAATTAGCCAGGCGTGGTGGCATGTGCCTGTAATCCCAGCTACTTGGGAGACTGAGGCAGGAGAATCTCTTGAGATCGCACCACTGCACTCCAGCCTGGGCGACAAAGCAAGACTCCATTTCAAAAACAAACAAAACCCCACATGTTAATATATATTATCTTTAGTCTTAAGAATCAACACCTATTAAGTTTCTCTTAATGTTGCAAATTAAGACATGAACTAGTTTAATTAAATACGAGCCTTTTATATCATATGGTATAGAGTTGTTTAAACATTTTAAAGGTCAAATAAACAGCATATTTATCCTTTGTTATTCTAACAATCCTTAACTCATCTGAAAAATAAGTTTACCTCTTGAACAACTGCAAAATTTGTTTCATGCAACTTTGTGTTCAGTATCTCAGAATGGAAAGCAGCTAAGCATCTAATAAAATTCAGTCCCTCAATTTTCTTCTCCCTATGGGAAAAAGAAATGACAAGATCATTCGTTAGATGGGACTCAACTGGAACAGGATCACAAATGTCTTCTTTTCTGTGTATGGAATATTGCCAAGGAAGAGGTTCAGAAAGGTGAGAAAGGTTCAGGTGAAAAGTCTGAGTTTAGCAGAGGTTGGTTCATGAGGTTGAGGGAAAGAAGCCATCTCCATAATATAAAAGTGTAATGTGGGCTGGGCGCGGTGGCTCACACCTGTAATACCAGCACTTTGGGAGGCCGAGGTGGGCGGATCAAGAGGTCAGGAGTTCGAGACCAGCCTGGCCAACATGGTGAAACCCCATCTCTACTAAAAATACAAAAATTAGCTGGGCGTGGTGGTGGACACCTGTAATTCCAGCTACTCAGGAGGCTGAGGCAGGAGAATCACTTGAACCTGGGAGGTGGAGGTTGCAGTGAGCCAAGATCACACCACTGCACTCCAGCCTGGGTGACAGGGCAAGACTCCGTCTCAAAGAGAAAAAAAAAAATAAAAGTGCAATGTGAAGCAGTAGGTGCTAATGTAGAAGCTGCAGCAAGTTATCCAGAAGATCTAGGTAAGGTAATAGATGCACGTAGCTACACAAAACAACAGATATTCAATGTAAATGAAACAGCCTCCTATTAGAAGATGCCATCTAGGACTTTCAAAATCAGTATGATTCTTAGGTGCTAAATTTTCAGAATTGAAGCTACATTAGCATGCATGAAAACAACATTAATATCCTTGTACATCTCCATCAGAGCTCATGAGTGACCAAGTACATTGTCAACGAGCAGTAATATTTGCTATGATTGCTAAAATTACCACAGCCAGCCACTACCACCCTGATCAGTCAGCACCATCTACATCAAGGTAAGATCCTCCACTAGCAAAAAGATTACAACTCACTTAGGGTTCAGGTGATCAGTAGTAGCCATTAAGTATTTTTTAATTAAGGCATTTTTTTTAGGCATAATACTACTGTGCACTTATTAGACTACATTATAGTGTAAACATATCTTTTAGATTTAAAAGATTATAATTATATTAACTTATACAATCTATAACTGTGTACCTTATATAATAATATAGATATAATTGTAGATTTGTGTATTTCTCCTTAAATTTCTATTAGTTTTTTCCTTCATGTATTCTGAAGCATTCATATGTGCGCTCTCTCTCTCTCTCTCTCTCTCTATATATATATATATATATATATGTGTATGTGTATGTATATGTGTGTGTGTTAGGACTGATACGTCTTCTTGATGAACAGACCCTTTTATGATTTAACAATAGGCCTGGTTAGCTGGTCCTTCATCATCTGTCCCTTGGTAATAAAGAGTTACAATATTTGGTAAGGATTTAAATTTTTTTCCCTAGTGTTCTAGAGAGCTACCAAACTGCTTTCTGTGAGGAAGTCCCATGGTCTGGTTTATATCTTAACAGTATCAACAGCTATTATATGAGATGGAGTAATAATACAAGCATGGAAGCCCGTGATGAAACTACGATAGCCATGTGGGAGACAACTACGGCATGAACTAGAGGGATGGCAGCAGAGATTGAAGTAGGTAATTGGTTTCAGGATATGTTCTGAAAATATAAGAATTGATGGAATGTAAATAAATGAGAGGCCAGGTGCAGTGGCTCACGCCTATAATCCTAACACTTTGGGAGGCTGAGGCGGGCAGATTGCGTGAGCCCAGTATTTCGAGACCAGCTTGGGTGAAACTCTGTCTCTACAAACAATACAAAAATTAGCCAGGCATGATGGTGTGCAACTTTAGTGTCAGCTACTTGTATGGCTGATGTGGGAGGATTACCTGAGCCCACAGAGGTCAATGTTGCAGTAAGCTGTGATCATGCCACCGCACTTCAGCCTGGGTGACACAGTGAGACTGTGTCAATCCTGAAGTCAATCCTGACTTGGAATGAACAACCAAATGTGTATGGAAGGGCCGTTAACTAAGACAGTGAACACTGAGGGAGAAGTATATTTCGGATTAGGAAGAGGGGAAATAAGTTCTGTGTTAAGAATTTTATCTCTATGTTCTTATGCTATATTAGGAATCAGTCTGTAGTTTTCCTGTCTTTGTATGGTTTTGGTATCAGAGTAATGGTGGCCTCAATCAATGAGATGAGAACTTCATCTTATTCAATGTTCTAGAAGTATATGTAGAAATAGTATCTTCGTAAAAAGTTTGGGATAAACTATCAGAAACTGAAGGTTTCTTTGTGGACATTTTTTTGTTTTTTCAGAGGGAGTCTTGCTATGTCACCCAGGCTGGAGTGCAGTGGCACAATCTTGGCTCACTGCAACTACCGCCTCCTGGGTTCAAGCGATTCTCCTGCCTCAGCCTCCAGAATACCTGGGATTACAGGTGTACACCACCATGGCTGGCTAATTTTTGTATTTTTAGTAGAGACTAGGTTTCACATGTTGGCCAGGTGGTCTCGAACTCCTGACCTCAAGTGATCTGTCCGCCTCAGCCTCCCAAAGTGCTAGGATTACAGGCATGAGCCACCACTCCTGACCTCTTTGCAGGAAAATTTAAACAAAAATTCGATTTCATTAATAGATACTGGGTTATACAAGTTATTATTATATTTTTTTTGAGACAGAGTCTTGCTCTGTTGCCCAGGCTGGAGTACAGTGGTGCAATCTCAGCTCACTGCAACCTTCTCCTCCTAGGTCCAAGCAATTCTTGTGCCTCAGCCTCCTGAATAGCTGGGATTACAGGCATGCACTGCCACATGTGGCTAATTTTTGTATTTTTAGTAGAGATGGGGTTTCACCATGTTAGCCGGGCTGGTCTTGAACTCCTGGCCTCAAGTGATCCGCCTGCCTTGGCCTCCAAAAGTGCTGGAATTACAGGCGTGAGCCACCGTGGCCGGTCACAAGTTATCTAATTCTTTATGAATGAGTTTTGGTAATTTGTGTCTTTCAGTCCATTTCACCTAAGTTGTTGAATTTTGGGGCATCATGCTGTTTATCATATTTCTATATTATCTGTTTAACAGCTGTATGATCAGTAGTGATGTTTCTTCTTTCATTCTTGATGTTAGCAATTTTTCTCTTCTTTTTCTTGGTCAATCTGACAAGAGGCTTATCCATTTTATTGATCTTCTCCAAGAACCTGCTTTTGCTTTCACTGATTTTCTCTATTGTTTTCCATTGCAATGATTTCCACACAGATCTTTATTATTTCCTTTCTTTGCTTACTTTGGGCTTCATGTGCTCTTCTGTTTCTAGTTTCTTAAGGTGAAAGCTGATTTCCTTTATATAGAACTTTTCTTCTTTTCTAATATAGGTGTTATAGTGTGACATATTCCTCTTTAATTTGGCTACATCCCACAAATTTTGATGTTTCATTCTTTATTTCATCAAATTCAAAATAATTTGTAATTTTCCTTTTAATTTCTTCTTAGATCCATAGGTTACACATGTAAGTGTGTTACTTAGTTTCTAAATATTTGAGCACTTTCCAAACACCTGTCATTAATTTCCAATTTAATTCCAGAGAACAAAATTTGTAAAATCCGATTCCTTTAAAATTACTTGTTTTATAGCCTAGAATAAGGTCTTTCTTGGTAAATATGTCTTGTGGACTTGAATAGAATGTGAATTCTGCTGCTGTAGGTGGAATGTGTTATAAATGTTAATTAGGTCACACAGATGGCAGTGGCGGCCCCTCTGGAGTGGCCACTGTGAAGACACCAGCTGTGGCAGGGAAGGTACAGCAGGGACTGTGTGCTCCATGGACCCAGCGGGTGCCAGGAACAGGTGGGAGCCATGCCCCCTTCTGAGTAGAAGGGAAAGGAGCCCTGACTTCCTGGGCACAGCTGTAGCCATTCAGCCACAGCCACAGACCTGGGCATCCCTGTGCTCTCAGGGGCCCTGGAAATCCCCCTTCCCAACAGGCTCAAAAGTGCCTTCTCCCACTGCCTGGCTTCTCCCCACTCCCAGCACAACCTCCAATTTTGGAACGAAGTTGTGGCTGATCCCGGGTGCTGTCAGGACCTAGCTGGGTGTGCACGCACTTGGGGTAGTGCTGACATGGTCCCCACTGGACTTTGGGCACCAACAAGCATGGGAAGGAAGCTGGGAGCATGTTGAGGGCAGCTTGGTGTGGGCCTGCAGGCATCCCTCAGCACAAACAGCCTGGGCACTGTGGACAGCAGGTTGATGGTGGCAGGAGGCAGACAGGCTCCTGGGCAGAAAGGGGCAGGTGAAGCCTCACCTTCAAGCCAGGGACAGACTGAAGCTTGTAGGGGTGGGCTGCCTAGTTTCACAGACTGGAGTGAGAACTTATGGTGCTTTTTCCAGGCCTGCCCATGGACCAGTCAGCATGCACTTCTTCCTCTCTGAAGCGCATAAAAATCCCAGACTCAGCCAGACTCTGGCAGATGGGATGACCTGCCTGTGGAGAAAAGCTACCCTCTGTGGGTCTCCTCTCTGCTGAGAGCTGTACACTCATCAGCACAACCTGCCTGCGGATAGAAGCTACCCTCTCTAGGTTTCCTCTCTGCTGAGGGCTGCAGAGACACCAGAACAATCTGTCTGCGGATAGCAGCTACACACTCTGGGTCTCCTCTCCACTTAGGGCTGCACAGACATCAGGATGACCTGCCTGTGGATAGGAGCTACCCCACTCTGAGTCTCCTCTCCATTGAGGGTTGCACAGATGTCAGGACGACTTGCCAGCAGAAAGGAGCTACCCACTTCAGGTCTTCTGAGAGGTATACTGTTGCTCAATGAAGCATCTCTTCACCTTGCTCCACAACTGGAGGTCCATATACCTAATTCTTCTTGGATTCAGGACAAGAATTCAGGACTGAAAGATCTATAACACAAACATGGCTGAAAACTCCCCCTACCCCAATCACATTGCCACCACTCATGACATTGTGGGCAACGAGAAGGTGAGAAGAAAGGAGAAAAGAGCTGTGGCCCTATGGGGAACCCAGACGTAGGAGCTTCCCAAGCAAGGGCTGGCAT